CCTTTTGGTCAATTTATACCTCTAGTTTACTCACAAATTTTTACTTTTAGGCTAATATATCAAAATTTGGGGGTAACTATCACATTTATGTAAGAAGTGTGATAACAAATGAGTATTGAAGTGTTCAAGCTGAATTAACTATCCATATAAAACTTTACTGACTCCATGGATATTTCAATAAATCCTTACATCAAACTTAAGTTTACGCCACGTTCAAGAGAGGGACATATAATGGTTCCTTTTTAGTAAATAATTTGTTGTTACTACTTCAAAAAGATATTTCATTTACTTATTACTGTATATTTCTTGAATAATTATTTAGGAAAAAGTTTTCTGTTATAGCCCAATATAGGAAATAAGGAGACAAAGTCAGAAAAAGCTCCCAAAAACACTGTGTATGGCTTGCTCTGCCTACTAATAGTCATGGTAGAGCCTTATTTCAAGGCAATTTTTCCTAAAATGTTTTTTTGAGACTCAATCCATTCAGAATATTTCATGTTTACAAAATTGCAGAGGAATAGCATGACATTTACAAAAAAATGAGAGTACATACAAGGTCAAAGGTGCATTTGCAGCTTCCCTAAATAGGAGTAATACCACCATTCTTTTAACACTATTAGTCTTTGTTAGATTGGTATTTTTCAAAAAATTGTGCAGATTTATCTTTGTTTTAAATAAAGAAATATTTTGCATGAGTAAAGTTTTATCCTGTCCAGTACTACAGTGAAAATTTCACATAACATTTCATTGCATATAAGATAATAACCAATCAAATTTTCAGCCCTTTTTTTGCTGTTAACAAGCTTTAGTAACCATGTCACCTCAAGTTTCCAAAATATTTTATAGAAACACCAAATAAAAAAAAGAATGGTACTTTGAAACACCCAAGACATATGTTTATGACTTAGAAATTTTTTTCTGCAATGACATACAGGGTTAATTTCCTACAACTGTTACATTCAAGGGAATATTTTTTTAACCCTTTTTCGTACGAAACGGGATGTGAAGTACTATGATTTGGTGGTATGACACATTTTTCGTCAAAACTAAAGAAAAAAACCCATAATAAAAATATTGATATTCTAGATATATTCTAAATTTCGGCTTGTTAGCATTTCAACGAAATTAACGACATTTTTGGTTCAATGTCTCAATTTTGTTAAAGAATGATTTCAATGATAAAACAGAAGATTGTGTGTTGACCTTTGGATGTTCATTTTGTTGTTATCCTATGTTGTTGGATTGATTCCATATTCACGTTTATGCTATATCTTTTTTAATCGTATTAACAAATATTTCAGGGGAACAAATAGCATTCTTCAGTGTCATTCAGTGGCTTTTTGTTCACCCAATTATTTGTCGATACGATTTTTAAACATCCTCTTCGTATATTACCATCTTATATTGCCGGTATGGTTATGCAAATCTCAAAATGTTATATATATTTATGTTACAGGCTTTTTCTAAATTTAGGCATTTTGTAAAATTTCTGTAAGATTCAGGCATTTTATATATTGACTAATTTTTGTAGGCATTTTACAAAATGCCTGGAAAAATTGAAAGGCATTTTACAAAATGCCTGAAATTATTCTATAGAATGAAATATTAAAAAAAACTGAACAATTAAAAGTTTGGAACAACAGAGCAGTTTTATCTATGAGAGTTGCAGAGTTTTACTAATCAAAAATATATTCTGTGGAATTATATCACACAAGCACAATTATTTGTTATTTCATAAAATGTTTGGATGGCTGAACTGTTACACAATACTTGTCCTGATTTTTTGCAAATACATTGTTTGGCGTAAAATCTGGTTTTAGCACTTCAACCACGTTGGAGAAATCTGGACCATGACACATTTAGCTCTTTCAATACCCTTTCTGATAAAACACTTAACGTTTGACAACATTGGGTTTCGCAATAAGCACACACTTCATACATGAATATCTTCTTTTTCATATGTTCCCAAAAGATTCAAAGTACATTATCATGATTAGTTTGACTTTTATCTTTTGGCTTATCATAGCTTTTAACGGACTGAAGCAGATCTAACCATGACGGGTGATGTACCTAAAGCAGGAGACGCTTACCCTGTCAATAGAAATAACCTATTTGAATTATAACCAATTTGTTTTTGTCTACTTAATGCAAACAAACAGCAATCAGTAAATTAAAAACAAACTTCTTTTTCCTTGCTTCATATGCTTCACTTCTGATTTGAATCTACATTTTCTAAAAATTCGTTTGTTAATTCTGTTCTATTGAAAGGATAACTCCTTCTGCCTTTTTGACAATATCATAAAATTACTATCCGACATACAGAATGAGTACATACTTAACGTTACTAAAAACTTTCCCAGGTGGTTTTTGAAGAATTAATTAATTTTACCGAACCATTTGTTATTTTCTTTGCAAGATGCTGTGTTTTCTTTTGTTACCTATTCTGACATCGGACTCAGACTTCTTTTAAACTGAGTTTTACCGCGCATATTGATGTGTGTTTGTTTATTCTACATTAACTAGAGGTATAGGGGGGGGGGGGGGGGTTGAGATCTCACAAAACATATTTAACCCCGCCGCATGTTTGCGCATGTCCCAAGTCAGGAGCCTCTGGCCTTTGTTAGTCTTGTGTTTTTTTTAAATTTCAGTTCATTTATGTTTTGGAGTTTAGTGTGACGTCCATTTTCATTGAACTAGTACACATGTTTGTTTAGGGGCCAGCTGAAGCCCGCTTCCGGGTGAGGGATTTTCTCGCTGTGTTGAAGACCCATTGGTGGCCGTCGGCTGTTTTCTGCTCTTTGGTCGGGTTGTTGTCTCTTTGACACATTCCCCATTTCCATTCTCAATTTTATTTTTCCACTTTTATCCACATGCATTTCAATGATATCCTTTTTCTACAAATTACCTGAAAATTAACAGGCAATTTGCTGAATTTTGTTTCAAAATTTCAGTCATTTTACAAAATAACTAGGTATTTTTAGTCATTTTATATAATGCCTAAATTTAGAAAATGCCTGTAACATAATATATATATAGTGAATGGTTTCATTTTTTGACTGAAGAGGACAACTGCAACCTAAGTCGAAATTTATCCTCTCTTAATTTTGTGTCGCTAATTTAGAAATACATTTGTTTTGTTACATACTACTTAATCTCCACATTATTCAACAGGTTTTTCATGTCTGTATTATTTATTCTTCTCGTCTGAAAAGTATTGCTTTTTAGTATAACGTCAATATTTTAAAACATAATAAAAGAACCTGAATTTTTACCCAACTCAGTTGATATGAAAAGAGTTGGAACACTTTCGACCATCTGCTTCAATATCATCGCCAGTATAAATATCTAAAAACTGCAGGAAATTTATTAACATGATCAACAAAATATGCATATTATGTGTGTAAAATTAAATAAAGTTAAGAAATATCGATCGGTATAAATATCTTAATTGTCCGTGTCTCTTTCTTACACACACACAGACACTAAAAAAAAAGTATTGCACCTGTCCTAAGTCAGGAACTGATGTTCAGTAGTTGTCGTTTGTTGATGTGGTTCATAAGTGTTTCTCGTTTCTCGTTTTTTATATAGATTAGACCGTTGGTTTTCCTCTTTGAATGGTTTTACACTAGTAATTTTTGGGGCCCTTTGTAGCTTACTGTTCGGTGTGAGCCAAGGCTCCGTGTTGAAGCCCGTACTGTGACCTATAATGGTTTACTTTTATAAATTTTGACTTGGATGGAGAGTTGTCTCATTGACATCCATACCACATCTTCTTATATCTATATAGGATAAATTTACTCACTTTTTGGATAAAAGTATTATTAAAATTAGGCAATTTACTCAGATTGTTTTCTGATTCACATAAAATTCATGAAAGTTAAAAGATGGAAGAAAAATCTTTTAAAGACTTCAAATTAAAGCACCTTTACAATTTTTCAACTAGATACAATGTCACTGTCGAAAGATAACAGATAAATTTATGGACCTCATTCGAATGTACCGGACACGTGTCCTGTTAACTTGGGTCCTATTCCAAATATTCTGCTGCACTTTCCCTTTTGTATGAAATTTAATCATTTCAGTGGTGGATCCAGAGGGGGGGTCCCCCATTTTTTGACGATCAATGCATTTGAATGGGGACATATATTTGGAACCCCCTTTCTCCTGGGTTGGAATCCCCCCCCCCCCTTTTTTAAAAATGGCTGGATCCGCCCCTGTATTTGAACACATCTTCTATATTTAAATGATATGAAAAACATTCTTCTTGTAGAAGATTTTAGACAACCTTTTTCGGAACAACATTTTTTTTAAAACACGTTACTACAACCAATCCATATTTGTTTCAGACCAGTAAATTTGCATATGATATGGTTCGTAATTTGAATGGGGTCAATGGGTAATAAGACTAACAAGAATTCCCCATGGGAATGTCATCGTGATCTATGCTTAATATTTCTAATCTAGTTCACCTTCGCGTATCCTCCATTGTGATATTATAAATTACAATATACCCGTCAAATGACAACGTTGTACTTTTATGTTAATTTGTCTTTTGGAGAGAAGAGGACGCTTGAATATAAAACGAATTTGCAACGAATAAGAAAGAAGTAATTAACACACCCATGAATAGAACACTTACTTAGATAGATAGGAGTAATAATGTCATAAAGACATAATCTGACTGTGAGTTAGTATAAGAATGTCATATAAATATATAGGATATGAAAACTTAAATCAAATAAGCGAGCATAGAATTATTTCGGTTAACGTCATCACCTCCTGTAATGTTATACCAAACATGACCTTCATTTTCAGACGACGACAATAGCGTCAGCTAGTCGTACATTCAAATATTCTAATTTTAACATTAAATCGAGTTCACACAAAAAAAAGAAAGGTGATAGTAAAGTAAGATTAGCTTTTACCCACCTTGAACACAAATATTTCCTTAACTGTCTTTTATATGAAATGAAACAAATACTTTGTACAACTTCTATTTTTTAACTACCACAGTATAAAAGGACTAAAAAAAAGACATATTTTTAAATATATGTATTAAACATTTCAAGCAGATTGTTGGGGTTTTGACGACTGAATAAATTCCTCTGTATCAATATGAACATCACGGCTTTGGAATGGAATGATGAAATAGTGAAAAGTCTTATAGCAAACATTGTCTTACTTTCTATGTATATCATGACTGGAATATTTGGAAACAGTCTTGTTTTGATCGTGTATGCACTTCGTATGAAGGACCTATCAGATGAAAGATATTTCATACCAATTTTAGCTGTTTTTGACATGCTAGCAGCTGTATATCTTGGATCTTTTGCAATTTATGAGTGTCTAAATCAAGTAACTTTTTCAAACAGTATAGCCTGCAAGATTGCAGAGTTTTTTGCTGGATTTACTACTTTCGTTCCAATATTTATTCTGCTTATTATAGCAATTCAGCGATATTTGAAAGTGTGTCATCCTCTAAAATCCCCTATGCAACGTTCGTTAAAAAGAGTTTTATTGTGTCTCGCAAATTTGTGTTCATTTTTTATTGCACTGCCTATACCGTTTGTGTTTGATACGAATCCCTTTTACAGCTCTGATTATGGTGTAATAGGAATGCACTGTGGAGGAGTTAAAGATGGTAAAACAATAGTCCGGATTGTATACTCCATTGTATTGGGGACGTTTGCTATTGGTGTAACATCCACACTTATCATTTTATACTCTAGAATCGCGTACACAATATTTCATCAGCTAAAAGTAAATGGACATAAGGGCAAACATACGCAAAACGATGTAGACTTAGAAGGAAAGACAATTTCGAGCGATATCAGTGCTACGTCTCTTAGTGGAGATTTACAATTAATCAGACCTGAAAAACGTCAACTACCTTCAACCGTTATCGATGGTCCAAAATATTGTGATGCAAAGCATGATATGAAAACCTCGACGGGGGACATTGCCAAGCAGAGTGGATCCCAAAGAAGACAGAAAATTAATCGTCGAATTACCCATAATATAACTATAATGTTTCTCGTCATAACCTCGATATTTTTACTTTGTTATATATCAAAGGTAACAGTACTTATTATTGAAGGAATAAACAAGAAGTTTTGGGGGGAAATGTCAACAGCGAAAAGATCAGGTGTGTTGTTTGTATCGGATATGTTTATAACCAACAACATTGTGAACCCCTTTATCTATGCTTTTATGGATACCAAATTTCGAAACGAATCCAAAACATTTTTAAAACGTGTGTTTATGTTTTGCTTATGTTAAGATTACCACACATCTACTTTCTTTCATACTTAAATGTCACGCGTTCACCAAATTTTTTACAACCTATTCATCATCTTGGAGAACAAACCATTGTTAAACACGTGCATTAATTTCACTCCTCTTCTTCTGAATTAAAAACCCATTTGATTATAAAATGTTTTGAATAAATGTTCATTGCCTATTTTATGTACTCTTTCAAGGATTGTTTTTGAAATCCATTAACATATGCCATAAAAACATTGTTGTCATCATGGCTTAAAGTGCATCGTAAACTTAAATTGATAACAATATTTTTTTTAATTGTTTAATATGTTTATCAAATTGTGTTCATACCTATAGATAATTTGTTTTAAACTTTAGTGCTACTGTTACCTTTTCTTTGTGTCAAAAGGAATTGTTTCAAAAATCACTTAAATGCTATAATAAGTTGTGTAAACACTTATTTGCCCATAATCCAAGTGTTAAGACAAGCGTACATGTGTATGATCAAACTATCAAACTATATTTGTTTATGGTTGTGAGGTCTGGAGTACTTTCAATCCATTTGCAGCGCGAATTGATATGGATTTATTTCTTTTGGTAACCTGATTTCAAAAAAATGCACATAAAACTGTGAAAGCATATTCAAAGAACATATTAAAAGTCTAGAATTATAGCAGTTTTATTAGAGATTGGAAAGTTTCATCTATTATACATTTCAATATTGCTAAACAGTAAAATAACAAAAATACCGAACTCCAAGGAAAATTCAAAACGGAAATTCCCTTATCAAATGGAAAAATCAAAAGCTCAAACAAATCAAACGAATGGAAAACAACTATCATATTCCTGACTTGGTACCGTCATTTCCTTATGTAGAAAATGGTGGATTAAACCTGGTTTTATAGCTAGCTAAACCTTTTGCTTGTATGACTATCGCATAGAATTCCATTATATCGACAAAAATGTTTGAGCAAAACAAACAGTCAAAATAGGTAAAAATGTCAAAAATTGGGGTACAACAGTCAACATTGTGTTGTATCTTAATCACTATAATAAACGAACAACTATGTCAACAAAGATAAACAAAAATGCATATCAAAATTTAGTGACAGACTATAAAAGTTATGAACATCCATTCCACTGCTGAATGATACCTATATCTGTTCAAAAAGAATGATCAACATCAGACAGTCGTAAAGGCACGAGGCTGATGATAAAATGCCTAATATTTCCCAACATAAAAGTAGTATTGGAAGCTATGGTTTTAAGAAAATTGCGATTGAACATGTGACCAAAAGAGAGTAAGAAAAAAATATTTGAATGCTACAGGGCAATTTAGAAAACATATATCCTATTAAAAACAAATTTATTTTTCAGAAATACATGGTATATAAAGTATTTCGTAGCATAAAAAAAAAGTATTTCTTTTTTCGGAACACATACTTAAGACAGAACAGGATAGGTACCTAGTTATGCCCACCCAGATCCATACTGGTATCTATTCGACGTGCGCATTAAACAAATTAGAAGATGATATTCATTAAACGTTCTATTGTACCAAACATGCACTTGACTGAACCAATTTATTTGTGTTAAACTGTAAAAGTGGTGCACATTCTACAAATCTATGAGAGCGCTACATATTAATTTGATAAAAAGACTGTGAAGTTATCCTTTTCTTTCGTGTATTGCTCAGTTTATTTCCAAAAATGAAACAATAAAATCACAGTTTCATTCTCATGCACAGTCATTCTGGTCTTGTATTTGCAGTTCAGATACGAAGAGGTCTAACTTGATTGTGTAATGTGTGTTTCCGTCTAGATTATAAACACATGCAAGTTATGATACATATATTTACTTCCTTATTATGATGGTATTGTCGCTGATCTGAGCTGTCTAGTATCTACCATTGGTATCCGATTGACAACCTCTAGAAGGACTGGGCATTAATTAGTTGGAGTTCAGTATTTTTGTAATGATTTTTTTTATAATGCAGTACTCGTATGGTCGTATGGTCACTGTTGAATCTGCTATAGAAAAATATCATATTCTTTCTGTTTATGTTTATCATTTTAATCGTTTACTGTATTTGTTTTTATACATGTTAATGGAGTACTATATATTCATTACTGTTAGCTATGGTGTATGACTCTTATGGGCCCTTGATTAGACAATAAAATATTTATCATACCTCATGTTATAATGTTGGTTTTTATTAGTTAATACGCACACCCTAGTACCCGGCTATCGGTATAGAAATCGAAGATCAAAATCTGCTGTATACGATCGCAAAATCTGTTGTCACTATAGCAAAAATAATACTTTATAATGCCAATCCGGAACATATATCCTATTCTATAGCCGGAAATAGGTTGTGATACGAGGGTGCCATTCTATTCCAACACAAGGCTCAGTAGGTAAATAAACTCATCATTGATACTGGATTAACATTTACCATATTCTACTATTAACAACTAATAAAACTCGTTAAAATCCATTATTCAAAAGACAATAATTACAAAATATTCAATAGAATAAATTGAATAAAACACTTCTAAGAAGGTGATAATACAGATCTACTATATTTTCGCACTGGTTGGTAATGGTTTTTTCTCGGGGTAACAATCGACAATATCACCCTCTCAGCTATGTATTATTTATAGACGAATCTATTCTAATCCAAATAACTTTGTTGTTACCTCAGTTTAAGTTGTAGGTTTATCAATCTGATTCCATTGTCACTTAACTGGCTACCGTTATTCTTAACTATACAAACTTTTCTATTTGTTTCGTGCTGTCCGTCTGGCAGTAAGACATATGCAAAAAGAAAAAGGAAGGAGGTGCTGTGTATAAAAAAGCATCTACTACATCCGTTCGGAATTTTTAACGTTAAATCCGAAGCTCTCTGTCAGTCAATAAACCTTTGCAAAAACTTTGTGAGGGATTCGTAGGACAAGATGTTTAAATTTCTGCCTCTATCCAAAGCCTCCTTTTCTAATGACAGTCTGACCCCCCTCCCCCCCCGATCCACCCACTTTGGACAACCTACATATTTGATGTATTGTTTAATTTGCTGTCCTCTTTAATTTGCATACGTACCCGGTAATCATTTAAAGACAAGTTGATATATTTGTTTTTATTTATTTGTTGCCATTTTAAAAAACAATATTTTAAGGTTTGCTTACACAGCATGGACGGCAAATAATTGTACAATGTGTAACAGAACAGGTATTACCAAGCATACATGTTATAGTTGCCACTCCATTAGCTGGTATTATTTCAGTAAAAGATCAAAGATGTTGCTTATGCTTGTGTTCAAGTCACAAGCAATTTCATTGGCCAGTGTTCAATGCACAGAAAATGATTGATCGGTGAATACGCATCCGATAAAATGAACGATAAGTGTTCTTTGCGAAACGATTGGACGGTTGATTAGTTCTCATTGTAGGATCACAAATCAACCATTTTATCAGGGTACATACACCAATCAACCTTTTCTCGGTTTTCACTTTCCGTAGATGCAATTAGTCTGCAATATGAATGACACTGCACACATGGATATATATAAACGTATACAATTAACACTGTTCAAGTTGCATGGTTATTGAAATATTCATTACTAAATGCTGCCTTTGAGAGTAGTAGCTTTACAATCATTTTGTAATATTAATGTCTAAACTCAGCATGAAACACAACACAATTAATAAATGTATTTGTATTTGCTCTGAGGACAAACTATTCATTTTGCAGTGTCAATGTCATGACTTTGAACACAATAAGTTATTAAATGGATTATGGCTGTATTCTTTTATGGATGCGTTATGGAATATTTTGTTTGGTCATAGCAGGTCTGGTCAATAATCGTGAAACTTGAAGAATATTAACAGAAGGTAGGAACAATTCTAATGAGAATTTTAATCAAGGCTACAATAAATGCATTTGAAAGATTCCCTTCAGAAGTTGCGTTAGTCGGTCCGTTAAAACTAAAAATAATATCAAAAAGAAATGATGTGGAAACAAAACTGATAATTCATCAACTTCCATACATCCATAAAAATATTAATGTAAAGTATTAACTTAGAGATGAATTAGTACGACCAAAAAACCTCATGTAAAGTAACAAAACGTTCAACAAAGAGAAGGGGAAACCGGTGAACATTGATTTTTTATTTTCACAATGACATTTTAAAAATGTAATTTTTAATTTATTGGTAGTCCGTTCATAATTATCCTTACGTCATTGTTTATGTCCGTCGGTGACCAGATTGTTAGTTTATACCTTCATCAAGTGCACATTGATCGAGTCATTTTGATCGCCTGCTTGATCAAGTATACCTTGATCGACTATAATTATCGGTCGCGTATCGTCCAGTTCACCTTGATCGACTATTATCGGTCGCTTTCATCGAGTACATCTTGATTCGCTTTCATCGAGTACATCTTGATCAACTATTATCGGCCGCATATACGGAATCAAAACTTAATTGAATTATCATGTGTATGTACATGTAAGTAAACTTATTGATGTTATGTTGATTCGTGCAATTATGAATCATTAAAATTACTTTTGCTTTCTTCATCATGACGAAAAGAGTATGTGACTGTAGTTATGACAAATGGAACATATCCGTAATTCTCAGTTCAACAGATATTATGTAACGGCCAACCAAATCATGTTTGCATCCGTAAGAATATAAATGGAAGACTTTATCTTTACCTCTTAAGTAGTTTCCTTGTAAGCAGCAAACTGCAAGCTACAAGACATGGAGTATCGAATCAATGAGAGATATATACTCGTAACAAAGAATCAATAT